TGTAAGTATGAGTTGGGAAAAGGAAAAAAGGGAATAAATAGTGTGCTCTCCTAACTGTTCTAATCATGTAAAATATGTACATGCATATAAGATACATGTACTTACAAATTATGTACCCACTTTAATGTTTTATTCATTTTGCTTATATGTGGACAGGACATTTTACTCTTATGTTTTCTAATAACCAGTGTAAAGAGAGAAACATAATCATGTACATAAATGATTTTCTCAAAGACAAAAATGTACCTGTTCCTGGTACTAGGCCCTGAGAGACAAACCTCCTTATGAATCCTCAAAAGAGGGGTGCTGGAGTTTGAACCCAAGTCCTTCCACACTTTTCAACTCTTGTCTTTTCAGCAGATCATTGAGGGAATTCTCTTCTCTACTCGATGGCATATATTTGATTTCTTTTTAACCGTATCATTTGATTTAGCTCCATTGGACACTGGAGCTATACTGTATCTGTCTATCTATTTACTCCTTGATTTTCTGACCCCATCCCCCACAATGTCAGAGGTTCTCACCCCTCGTTGTGCATTTGAATCACTTTTGAAAAATAACAGTGGGAGGGCCTTACCCCAAGAGATGCTGATTATGCTTTGTGTACATTTCTTTCCATAGAGAAAGAATCTTGAAAAGGCAAAAGAGAAAGTGAAGAAAAGTGGGGAAGAAGAAAGAATACAGATTATTGCAGAGGCTTACATAGCAAAACAATTGGTGACTGAACAGCTTACTGTTTTTATCAAGGCAGACTTCATGAACTCACAGTATTTTTCAGCCCTGAGTTTGTAAACTATAAATACTTACAGAACTGTTTGTGTATGTTGAGCACTGTGTGAGGCAGAGGGAGTTTTAAAAGCATATGGCATGTGCAGTCAGAAGAACTGGTATTAGATATACCACTAGTGGGGGGAAGTGTGTGTGTGTGTGTGTGTGTGTGAGAGAGAGAGAGAGAGAGAGAGACCACAGTTTCCCCTGAGTCTGTTTCCTTACCTGTAAAGTGGGGCTAGTGATTGTTGCCCTGTCCCCACCAGTTCTCACAGGTGTAGTGGTCATGTATATGTCCTAATACATTGAGAAAGTCCTTTACAAGTCTTAACAGTTCTATACCACCAGCTGGTCTGGTCCATTGTGCTGTTACTACAGAGGAAGATAAGACACTGTGCCAGGCTAAAAGGAATTTTCTAACAACATGGCGAGTCAAAAGTAGCACATGTGAATCAATGAGCAAAACCTGACTTAGTACTGAGCTGTGTAGCTTAGCCTCATCTCCCAGCTTTATGGAACTTCAGGCTGGTAAATCCCTTGTTTTACAGAATACTACATGTTAGAGTGACTGATCCTGTTGGGATGATAATGGCAAACCTTAATTGACATAAGCTGGCTATGTCTATATCTAGATCTATATGCTTCAAGGAATAATGTTCAAACTTTTGAGCTGTTAGAAAAATTGAAAGACTATCCAGTCACCAGGAAATGCTACCAGTATGAGTAAAATAGTCAGCTTTTATCTTTTTTTTTTTTTTAAAAGTCATTTATAATTAAGGTTTTGCCCTAGTTTAGTTTGTATGTTAACTTGAAGGTGACTGGAGCAACTTAAGTAGGAATTTTAATTTCTGTTAACTTGGAAGAAAAATACTTTTGAGTAGCTTGTCTTTTAGTGTGAGAAGGAACTTTCTCTTGCCTGGACATGGTGGAGCTGTGTATTGGATGTAACCCTTGTTTGTGCTGGGAAACCTGACTCTGGCCTTTATCCGCCCCACTGGATCTGCTTCAGGGCCTGATTGGAGCGGGGCCAAGATGAAAGCACCCTGGCTGCACTTCCAGCCGTGTGGGCTGGACCTGGTGTTGGATCACAAGGAAGTGGGAGAGATCTCATTGGGGCATCTTCTGCAAATGAGCTTGTAGCTTCAGAGCTGCTCACCGCCCTGCTTCTTCTATAGCCTGTTGGATGGATGGTGGAATGCCTAGGGAAATTTCAGAAAGGGGCTCTGGAGGGCTCACCTCTTCATCACTAGAGAGTGTCCTGCTTATATGAGCACTATGACCTTATAATACACTCCTTTTAAAATAGCTACCCTGCCTGCGACTTCTCTTCCCAGCTGCTGTTTCTGTAGCTGGAGGCATTCTTCTCCCTACCCATTTTCCTTTCTCCCTTCCCGGGACCTGAGTTTTTACCCATCAAGTCCTGAGAACCTGCAGTTACACAGTGAGAAGTGGGTTACCCACAAGCCCTGCCTGGGCTTTCCCTGCTCTCCTCAACTGCTTCTAGGGACCGAGATCTGCTTTGTGTGCCGTTACTTGGAACAGGAACCTGGGAGGTTCAAGTCCCTGTTTCCACTGCTTGAAATCCAAGTTAGGACTCAGATCCTTGGTGGTTTGGTTCTCTTGTGTGTCTGTGGCACTTTCTGCTGCTGCTGTTAGCTGCCGTCAAGTTGGCCTCCTGCTTGGCCACCAAATCATGATGACCCCCGGAGAGTGGAATAGAAAGAACTTGGCCTGGTCTGGCGCCATCCCTGTGTTTGGGTGCAGATAGACCATTGTGATCCATAGCATTTTCATTTCATCGACTGCATTTTGGCAATAGGTTGCCAGGCTTTTCTCCCTAGCATGTTTTACTCTGGAAACATCACTGAAACCTGTTTAGAATGATAGCAACATGCAAGACTTCACTGATAAATGGGTAGTGGCCATACATATGAGGTGCATTAGGTGGGAATTGAACCTGGGTTTTCCACATGGAAGGTGAGAGTTCCACTACTGAATCTTGTGACACATAGGGAGCACAAACAAGGAAAAGGTGTCACAATGACATTGCTTATTTTTTCATTTAAGAATGTGTATCCCTAAATAAAACTGAACACATTGCCTGTACCTCTTAGTTTAGAACTTTTAACGCAGACCTAGGAGTAGCCTGGAAACCTAACCAATTATAGCATGTCTCCAGGGAGAACATTGTGAGTTCCAAACAGTGCACTTATAAATGTTTGTGAGACAATCTGAATTACAGGACTGCCTGTATTTTATGCTAACAGTTTATTAACAGTTACTATTAATAATTAATTACCATTAATAAACAATCTCATTAATAAATTAGAGTATATTTGAAAGCACTTAGCAGAGTGCCTGGCATATAGAAACCTTCAATAAATATTTGCTACTGCTATTACCATCATCAGTGTTTTTAGGATAGAAAGAGTCATGTGTTATACTTAAGCTTATATGAATGGTCCATTAGAAAAATACAATGAAGGCTGTGGTTTGAATCCAAGAAGATGTCAGGGAGCATTACTACTGCTAATAGAACATTTGGGGATCCTAGGAGCAGTGACAAACACTGAAAGAAGTGATGGGCCGTGCCTCAAATCAGTATATACTTTGGCTAGAGATATACTGACAATCTTGAACAAGTAACCCAAAAACCAAACCAAACCCACTCCCATTGAGTCAATTCCATCTCAGAGCTGACCCTATGTAGGACAGAGTAAAACTGCTCCTATGGTTTCCAAGGCTATAAATTTTTGTGGAAGCAGACTGCCTCATCTTTCTCCCTTGAAGTGGTTGGTGGGTTTGAGCCACTGATGTTTTTTAGCTGCCAAATGTGTTAACCACCAGAGCCAATAACAGGTTAATTGTGTTTCTGATCATACTAGAATTGAAGTATGTTTATTTGCTCATTTATTCAATAAAAAAGTATTTATTGAGCACCTAATTAGGTGTACAGAAAAGAGAAAGAGATCAGCTTGTATTAGATATTCTTGACATTGAGCACATCAATGGAATTTTTAGATGGGAAGTACCAGAGGATGATAGGTTCTGGCTGGAGCATAGTGAGTAAAGACCATCTTAGCATTAATGGCAAGATGCCCTTATGGTCACAGTGGGGAAATTGTTTTGTCTTTTAATTACAAAGATCATTGTAAAAAGAAACAAAGCCCCTTCAGACCTTCGATCCCAAATAACTGACTCCATTTGAGCTAATTCGCCAGCCTCCTGATAAAGTGTGTATCATCAAACTGTGGTGATAAAGCTGCTTAGTTCAGGCACCTGGAGTCTAAATGTGCTGGCTAGGTGTACTCCCGTTTAACAGGTTTGTAGGGAAAGGCCTGGGCTGCTGAGAACCAAATAGAGAACACAGAGTACTCACTGGACATGGCCTCTGTTCTCAAGGAAGCTGGCAAGAATCCAAGCCAATATCAGATCAGTGTGGCACAGAGTGGGTGCCTGGTGACCTGTGGTTGCAGGGGAATGTGTTTGGCTCATCATGCTCTTACAATTAGAGGTGGCTGTTTGTAGAAACTAGGTTGGATAAAGATTGCTGCTTTATTATGTTCCTCTTTTTTTCTTTTTTTTTCTTTCCCTTCTGATTTTTTTTTCTCTCTGAGATGTAAATTTTCATTCTGCAGCATATATCCCATGCTGGTACTTTGTGTGCATTGTCTACATAGAGGTTTTCCATTTTGTGCCACTGAAGGAATCATCTTGAACAGATGTTACAAAGTTTAAGGACCAAATTCTCTGCTTGATTTTATAATTGTATTTTTGTTATGATAGCTTTTTCTTCTGCATGTTTTATGTGTTAACCATTGTGTTGCCTTACCCCCTATAAACAAGTATAGTTAATTTGGAAAGGATGTTTAAAGGTTCAAAGGAATTTAAGAGATATTAATTCTTTTGTGACCAATTCATCTTTAAGAACAGGACAGATTATCTCCAAATTACATAGATTTACTGTTAACTTTTAAATACTTTTAGACAGCTTTTACATTATTAGTTTTTTTTTGCTCTTTCCCTGTAGAGTGATTTAGCTGTTTATTTCCCCTGATAAGCAACATTCTTCTAACTTACCAAAATACACTTTATGTAACATAGTTTGATAAAAATCTGTGTGGACCAGAAAATTTTCCATTGATCATGAGGAAGGGAGCGTGTATGTTTTAACTCTCAACAGCCTCAGCTCTGCCTGGCCTCCTTCAAAATATTTTGGTCTCTCATTTCAGCCACAATTACAAGTTCATCCGAAAATGATGACCGGAGTGGGTCCAGTCTGGAATGGAGTAAAGATGGAAGCCTAAGGTTGGGGGTTCAGAAGGGAGTCCTTCATGATCGCAGGGCAGATAATTGCTCCCCGGTGGCAGAAGAGGAGACCACTGGGTCAGCAGAGAGCTTGTTGCCCAAAGCTGAAGCCTCAGTTGGAGATGGTCCAGTCCCTTATTCTCAGAGCTCCAGCTCACTAATAATGCCACGGCCCAACTCAGTTGCAGGTAAGGCTTCACCTCTTCCTAGAAGGATTATCTCACTGGATTTGAGGTATCCTATGTTCACTATCTTCACTTGGCCTAGTGTTACAAGTTGTCAACTCGGAGTGTAATTGAGGCACAGGGCAGCCTTGTGATCTTTTACCTTTGCTAGGCCTCGGTTTACCCATCTGTAAACATGCAAAGGCTGCACTTAATGGTCTTTAAGTGATCCCTGTGTGTTGAATTCCGTAAGTCTGTGATCTGGACTATAAGGTTCTTTGTGTGTGAGGGAAGAGAGTACAAAAACTTTTCCCTTGGTTTTTGGTATTTTATACCTTAGTGAATTCAGTGCTTTTTATTACATCTTGGAGAATGGGGAGTGTTACTTAAAATGAATTGTTATTACTCTAATAAGAGTTTCTGATCTAACCTTCAAAGTTATTTCTGTATAATTGAGTCCCATCATACAGAAATGAAGTAGAATTTCTATATAATTTAGTTGTGATGGAATTCACAGCTGAAACCATAAACAGCTGGAAGTGAGAGCACTCAGATGAGGAAATAAATGGGGAAGACAGACAGGCTTAGCAAGATGTAGCAGCTGGAACCTGAAAGAGAAGACACAAATGCCTGTGACTGTTGACTGTTCAGGGAGTGGTAGTGGGTGGTCCTCAAGCAAGGAGAATAGTTTGGGGTGGGTGGAGAAAAGAAGTCTCTGCCTCTGAGGTGGCATGTCTGACTAAGGTCTTGGATTTCTAAACTCCATGCCTTTTGGTTGAATTTAGAAGGGGGACTTGTTATGGTCATTCTTTGTTACCAGTGTAGTGCTTACATATGGAATGCTTCTCCTCTGCAAGGAAGAACTCAGATTCTCTTTCCTACATCAAAGGATTTTTCTGTAACTTACTCTGCTCCTTCAGGATGTATAGGTCACTCTGGTTGTTAGAGTTTTTTTTTTTTAACAATGTAACTCTGAAGCAGCTGATAAATAAATAGCCCTAATGGAAAAGTTCTGAGGCACAACTGTAATTCACTTTCAAGTAGATGGCCTTGTTCCAGGAGAGGAATTTGGAATGTCTGCCAGAACATTATGAATATTGAGTGATGATTTCTCCATAAAGCTCTGTGTCTTCCCACAGCAGTCTCGCCTTTAACATAATGTGTTGCACCTATGATGAAGGGTTCATTTGTATTATCCCAGAACTTGATAGCTTTATTGACTTCAACAAACAGCAAACTTGTGTTCAACTTAATCAAGCTATTTAAAAATTAGGAAGCACGTTACTATATTAATTTTAAGAGTGTTAAAAGCCCCCCCATTCGGGGTTGTATTTTCTACGTGATGTTCTTTTATGTGGTCTCCTGCCATGTGAAGTGACAGTGGGTGTGAGCTGAGATTTTCCAGGAGGCTGCAGTGATTATAGAGCAGGGCTTTCTGGTTTCTGCTGTGCTCATTCATTAGCTTCTACACACGCTCTTGAGCTAGACCTCCTGTGGAATGGAAGGGGCTTATCTCGGGGTACGAGCAGGGACTGCCTGACCTCATGAGTTTGCTCATTTCTTCTGTGTTTCATATTTTAAAAACTAAAAGCGTAATTTTGGAAGGAACTAGAGAGGCAAATGCCTTTCCTTATAGTGTCTGTTAACCAGCTAGGAATCTGGTAGACCCTTCATTGCTGACCCTCCTACGCCAAAGCTGAACCTCAGCTAAAAGAAAATGGCAAGATTTTTTGAAAAAGAGTAAGATTCAGGTAGTGTAGACCACATGCTACAACGCTATTTAATGATTTGATTGGATTAAAGTGGTGCGTAAAGGACCACATACTGAAATCTTTTAGAAGTATTTACATGTTATTTGCCACTGTTAGGAAAGGTATTTTGGTGTATATGGGTAGAGTAAGCAAGGGTGCTTTAAAACAAAACAAAAACCAGTGTCATCCAGTTAATTCCAACTCCTGTAGTGGCCACTCCTCAGAAGGAAGGTTGGGCAATCTCCTTCCGTAGTGATACCGCTTTCGAAAACCCAGGGATGCGACTCCATGGCAGTGCGTTTGGTTTTTCTATAGTGATCCCTATAGGATTTCCAAGGCTGTAAATCTTTATAGGAGTAGACTGCCTCATCTTTTTCCCAGCAACTGGGTGGGTTCAAACCACTGACTTTTGGTTAGCAGCCAAATGCCTTACCACAGTGCTACCAGAGCTCCTTACGGGAAGGGTGCTATGAGGCCACTGTTCACAGCCTCCCTATTGGGGGGGCAGGATACGGAATGCATAGCCTGAGTTTCCATGGTTAGCCAGCCTTCCCTGTAATTCAGCTTGTTACAAAGAACTCTGGTTGTTAACTGCCTAGAACAGTGAATAATTTTTGTTAAGCAAGTTGGTTAGTTTTGGAGTTGTTTCAGCATACAGGATTTTCTTTGTAAAGGTGTTTGTTGGAGTTGGAGTGGGATTGATTTGGAATGCAGCTGTCAAAATATTACTGCATCTCACATCAAAATGGTATGGCACGGGTACCTTTCTCCTTTAAAAAAAAAAAATGAGAATCCTTTAAAACTCTGTTAGATAATCTAGAAGTTGATTAGTTGGTTCTACCAAATTTAACTACTTTTTTTCCTTTTGAAATACTTTGTAGTGGATCACAGAACAGAGGTTAATTTTCCAGGAAAACTATAAACACAGTTGTCATCCGATTTTCTTGAAACTCTTAACTGGTAATTGCCCTGGACTTAAGCATTTGGCTTTGATAGACAATTCCATCCTGACTTACAATTTCAGCAGATACTTCTTTTTGGTCCACATAGAAAAGATTACTTGTGTTCTAAAACCAAACCCACTGCCATCAAGTTGATTGTGACTCATAGCAAACCAGAATGAAACTGTACCATAGGGTTTCCAAGCCGTAAATCTTAAGAAGTCCACTGCCATATCTTGTCCAGCGAAGCAGCTGGTGGGTTCAAACTGCTGACTTTTGGTGAGTAACTGAGTGCTTTAACCATTGGGCTCCTCCCCCACCCAAAATCCACTTTCCTGCAGCATCTGGGCATGCGCTGCTCACCCAGGTGTTAGACACAGTATGTGTGTTCAGTAAGTATATAATTTAATGGTGGCGATGTTAGCAGTAGGTTGATTGTAGCAAGAAATTATTACTTTGTCCATGATTCTTCTTGGCTGTGAATAGGGTTCAAGATTTGGAAGATATTTATCAATACATACCGATAGTCTCATTCTTCGAAGATCCTGATGATGTCCAATAATCTACTACTTGCATGTGTCTGAAGGCAGCATGTGGTCCCCATCATCTGCCCTGTGTAGGTGGGGAACACCTGGGTACATGGCTAAGCAGCTGAAATTTCATTGCTCCAGTTTCAGCATTTCTGTCAGTGGCTCTGAAAATGCCTTGCCATACAGAGGTAGCTGGCAGCTGGGTAGCTTGCAGCTCTCCGGAGCAATGGTCTGTTTCAATCCAGCTTAATCGTGTTTGAAATAGAGCATCAGACAGAGCTGTGCAGTTGCTGAGGGGGCTTTGTTGCATGCTTTGGAGCTGAGGCCGTGGTGACTGGAAATCTGAAGACAAGTATGTGAAATCTCACCATTTTTTCTGCGTCTGTTAAGTTTGATACCCACACAAAAATGGGGGCTGCGTTTGTGATTGTTCATTTGGATACCCTTTATAGCCTCTTTAATCTTTTGAATTGACACAAAGGTATGAACTGACTGTTATATTCAAAGGGGTAAGAAAGGAAAACGGGAAATCCCTTTTTGAGGTTTTACTTGACTTGGTATTCTCCAGGCTGAAGCAGCAAGTTATACTTTCGTGGCATTTTCAGCTTGAAAGTGAATTGGCTGATGAGTTATGTCTGTGACTGACCATTCTAACTCAGACCCTGACATGATGTATGTACTCACAGTAAGGCTAGGAAGGAGCCTAGAAATATATTCCAAACTGTGTTATTGTCAGGCAACAGGGTTGATGCATGTGGCCCAGTTGACCCTCTAGGAAGGTTCACATGCCCTGGTTGCAGAGGACCAGGAAAAGAGGAGAGCCTGGGTGGTGCAAGCTGTTAGCAGTCGGCTACTAACCTGAAGGCTAGTGGTTTGAACTCACTCTACAGCTCTGCAGAAGAAAAGCCTGGCAAACTGCCTCCCTAAGGATTACAGCCAAGAAAACTATGTAAAGGAGTTCTGTTCTGTACATGTTGGGTTGCCATGAGTCAGAATCAACTCAACAGAAATGAATTGTTTGTTTTGTTTTCCATAGGAATTAGCTGAGTCTTTTTAATAGAAAAGATTTGCATGGCAGTTGGCTGTGTGCATGGAGTATTCACATCAGTGTGTACATAGTATGTATAAAGGCTATGAATATACAACTGAAGGACACAGAAGCATAAAGGTTTACTATTGTAAAGTCAGGGCACTGTGGGAAGGTGAATGGGGCACATATTTGATGGCCTTTGGAGAATGCTTCAAAAGGGGGACATTCCTAACATAGACTAAGGCCATGGAGCTACCTAGGTGGTTTATTGATTGATCCTACTCACAGATTGGGTGCCAACCTTTTTGTTAGCAGTCCTGTGCCAAGGAGTGATGCTAACAATGAGGGACAAAAAGTACTAAAGCCTTAGGAGTGGAAATAGTATGGGTGAAGATTGGACAGATGGCATGGGGTGGCAACTAGACACTAAATTTGAGCCTGTAAGGTTGCCAGAGTTTTTCTGCAAGACAAATGGCCCATCTTGATTTCTGTCCCTCACAACTTGCTCTGGTGGTTTTACCAGTCCTCAGAAGTGTTAGGAGGAGCTCTGGTGGCATAGTACCTAAGGCATTTGACTGTTAACCAGAAGGCTGGCGGTTCAAACCCACCAGCCACTCCTTGGAAGGAAGACTGGGCAATCTACTTCTGTAGCGATACTCCCTCAGAAACCCAAGGGGAGGGGTTGCTATGAGTCAGATCCAACTCAATGGCAGTGACTTTGGTTTTTTGGAGGAGAAGTGTTAAGAGCTCTGGTGGTGCAGTGGATAAAGCATTCCACTGCAAACAAAAGTTTAGTGATTCAAACCCACCAGTTTCTCTGTGGGAGAAAGATAAGGCAGTCTGTTTCTGTAAAGATTTACAGCCTTGGAAACCCAATGGGGGAAGTTCTGCTCTGTCCTATTGGGTTACTATGACTCAGAATCGACTTGATGACAGTGGATGGGTTGATCTCCCGGTCTTTGGAAGGCAGCTCTGCTCACCACTATACTACTACGAACACTTTTAGAAGTCTTAGTCTTTGGGATGCAACTCCTGGTAGCCACCTTATTTGTCTCCACATTACAAGTATATTGGATTATCCTGGAAAATAATCATCTGTCTAAGGTCAGTAGTTGTGGTAGTTATGTTTTTGTGTCAACTTGACTGGAACTGGTTGAGTGGCTAGGCAGGTAGATGTAGTATTTCCCATGATGAGACTAGTAATCAACTCCATGGTGGACTCTACTGTGAGCAGCTGAGTAGCTGCCTTTGTGTGGTCTGCTTCCTGTATATAAGAAGAAGCTTCGAGAATGGTCTCTAGCCTATGGCACGCTTGGACCCTGCATGTAGCCGTGTCGTTGCTCAGCAGCCTGCTATGCTCTGCCGACCTTGGGACTTACAGTGGACTTAAGTTAATGGCCTGCCATGTGGATTGATAACATTGGGACTGTACCTTTTTGCTTGTCAACCTTGGGGCTTATCAGCCTCAGCAGCCAACAGCTGTCTGAGTGAAGAAATGCCTCTTGCTCCAGTGGGCCAGGAGCAGGAGGCAGAGCTGGACCCCAAAGTTGAGGGGCTTTCACCCAGTCCCTAGAGCCTGGCACTTTGCATTGGACTTAAATCCTCCAAATTTAATAATGAACTCCTGTTTGTTAAGACCATCCCATTTGTGGTATATATTTCTCATCAGAGTGGCACTAGGTAACCAGAACAGAATTTGGTACCTAGAGAGTGGGGTGCTGCTCTGACAGATGCTTAAAATGTGGAAACAGGAGTGGAGTGCGTCCTTGACCTAAGACCCTGGCAGAGAGACCCCGGCATCCAGCATGACAGACAGCAGGAATAGAGCAAGAGACCGACATGAGAGACAGCAGGAGCAGAGCTGAGGGAACCGGCATGAGACAGAGACAGCCTTACCAGCCCACGGAGGAGAAAGCTTGATGCCTTTGCTTAGGTGGTTTACTGGCGGAGTGGGTTGCCTTCGGGCATTAATTGGTAGAAAACATCTTTATGAAATGGAGCAGCAGGTTGGCCAGCCCATGGAGTGAAAAAGCTGAGTGCTTTTTGGGCAGGGTTTTTCTGCGAAGTGGGTTGCCTATGACATTAATCGGCAGAAGCGGAAAGACCAAGGAAATGGAAGCAGAGCTGCCTCAGCCTGAAAGAGTAGGACCATGGCCTTTGAGGGTGGAATGATCTCAGCCCCCTTGGTTTCAAAGAGCCAGGCCTTCACCAACTTGGTTCTGGAGTGTGGGGCTGCTTGTTCATGTGAGCCAGTGGGATGCAGCCATAGCCACTGCCCAAGAGTGAGGGGGTGCAGCTGCCATGCCCAAGAGGGAGAGGAACAGGGCTGCCAGGCCAAGGGGGTGAGGTTGCTGCTCAGGAACTAGGGGACTGGAGCCACCCAGTGGAGGAGACCTGTATAGATACCACCCATTGAAGATCTGTACAGGTGCCAAGTTGACAAGGGGTGGAATTGTGGTTATGTTTGTGTGTCAACTTGGCTTGGCCTGGTTGAGTGGCTGGGCAGCTGGATGTAGTATTCCCCATGATGAGACTGGTAACCAACTCCATGGTGGACTCTACTGTGAGCAGCTGAGTAGCTGCCTTTGTGTGGTTTGCTTCCTGTATATAATGAGAAGCTTTGAAAATGGTCTCTAGCCTATGGCACGCTTGGACCCTGCATGTAGCTGTGCATTGCTCAGCAGCCTGCTATGCTCTGCTGACCTTGGGACTTACAGTGGACTTAAGTTAATGGCCTGCCATGTGAATTGGTAACATCGGGACTGTGCCTTTTTACTTGTCAACCTTGGGGCTTATCAGCCTCAGCAGCTGTCTGAGTGAAGAAATGCCTCTAGCTCTAGTGGGCCAGGAGCAGGAGGCAGAGCTGGACCCCAAGGTTGAGGGGCTTTCACCCAACCCCTAGAGCCTGGCACTTTGAACTTGGACTTAAAGCCTCCAGATTTAAGAATAAACTGTTAAGGCCATCCCATTTGTGCTATGTATTTCTCGTCAGAGCGGCACTAGGTAACCAGAATAGTACATGTTGGGCCATTAATCCATAAACCATATTAGGTTTCTCTCACTGTGACCTAGGTTGTGTATGTAAATTAGAAATAATTTTTTTAAAAGGCAAAAATGTGTGCATATTGACCTCTAAGATTTGCTGAGAATTGGCAAAATTTTTTTGCACTGGTTATTTTCATAATGCAACTTGTGTATGCTGGAATGGATTTAGCATTTTTTATACAGATATCTATGGGCTATGAATTTACTGATTTTGTCAGAGGTAAATGTGATTGTTTTGGTTACCTCTGTGCTGTTCTAACAGAAAATACCACTAATGGGTGGCTTTAACAGGAGTTTATTCTCTTGCAGTTTGGAGGCTTTAAGTCCCAGTTCAGAGTGCTAGGTTCTAGGGGCTGGGTGAAAGCCCCTCCAACTTGGGCTTCAGTTCTGCTTCCTGCTCCTGGCCCACTAAAGCTGGAGGCTTTTCTTCACCCAGACAGCTGCTGGCTGCTGAGGCTGACAAGCCTAAGATTGACAAGTATAGTCACAGGACATTTGGCACAGTCCCAGTGTTACCAAAGCACATGGCAGGCCATTGATTCAAGTCCATTGAAAGTCCCAAGATCAGCAGAACATGGCAGAGTACTGACCAAGGGCTCGGCTACATGCAGAGATCAAGCTTGCCATAGAGACCTTCCCCAAAGCTGTTTCTTATGTACTGGAAGCAGCCAACATCCCTAAAGCAGCTGTACTCAGCTGCTCCAATTCCACCATGGAGTTAATTACTAATCTCGCCATGAGGGAATAACTACATCCAGCTGCCCAGCCACTCAACCAGACCCAGCCAAGTTAACACACAAACTTGTAACTACCACAGTGATAAACTTATTTTTAAAACTTAAAGAAATAAATACACTACACATATATACGTATATTTAAAAAAAAAAAAAAAAATCCGAACTCAGTGCCTTCGAGTTGATTCTGACTCACAGAGGACCCCATATGTCAGAGTAGAACTGCTCCATAGGGTTTATCTTGGCTGTAATCTTTACAGAAGCTAGTTGCCAGGCCTTTTTTCTATGACACCACTGCATGTATTTGAACCACCAACCTTTAGGTTATTAGTCCTAGGGCAAGTTGTTGGCACTACCCAGAAACCTAGAACATATATAAATATATATACACACACACACATTTGAAGCTTAGGAATGTTTATTTCTGATAAAGTCCTTATGGATACTTTTACTGCAGAGGCTGACTTTTAGCATTCTGGGAGCTGTGAAATGATACACCCAGAAACTGTTCATTTAATTAGCAAAGTTAGAATTCCTAACAAGAGCAGAGGGCTCCCAGGAGCAACAGAGAGGAGTGTAAGACATGTGTTGCAGTAAATACTAAAACTCTACGGAGTGGCATTTGATTATTAAGGTTCCTCATAAAAATTCATGACGTGTTTCTCTTTCTAGGAATAATGGAGAATTTATGGCAATGATATCAACATGACTTTGGCCAAAGACTGAGGAGCCCTTTTTTTGTTACCTTTTAATTAATGATATTGCTGGGAAAATAATCTGGGGCAAACAAAACTAAAAACATTTTAAAATAAATTTTGTTAAATTGAATTGCTTAGTAATTTATAATTTAGAGTAGTTTGGGTATGAAATCAAGCTTAACTTTGAAGAGACTGAACTTCAGTTTAATATTACAGCAACGAGCTCAACCAAATTGGAAGATCTGAGTTACTTAGATGGGCAGCGAAATGCTCCTCTTCGAACGTCCATTAGATTACCATGGCACAATACGGCAGGAGGTAGGGCGCAGGAAGTTAAAGGTATTTATCCTTGCCTCCACTGTGATAATGGATATGATTAGCTTATTCACTAAACATTGAAAGTCTGTGATAACCAGCATTTAAACAAACTGGTTTTTTTAAACTTTGTGAGGTGTGTGTGTACGCTAAACATTTTTCTGTAAGGTGTGCTAGGGGTCATCTTTAACAGTTATGGAATTCTTAAAATGTGATTAACTTACTTGTGGAGTTGGAAAATAATTCAGCCGCAGGTTATTTTGAAGTGAGAGTAAATTAATACTCACTTGATTTTTGTTGTTGCTGTTACCAGGCTTCATTTCAGTTTCTTGGACGATTGACCACCTCCTGAATTTACCCAAAGGCGTTGTGTGGTGCTGCCTCACCCACATGGGCAAAGAAAGCACCATTGCACCCTGTGAGAGTTGTGGCTTGTCTCTAGGAAAACACGTTTCCACTTTACTCATATAAAGTTATAGAAGAAACATGTCTTAAATATGGTTTCAGCTAAACCAACAAAACAGTGTGGCCCATTGCTTTACTTCCTCTAACCCACAGTGCATATGCCTCTGAGTAATGAAGGTAACTGAGGCAAGAAAGAACTCTAGATAGTCATTTTCATTGGGCACCTTGTAGGACCAATGTGGCTTGATAGTGAAGTACCACCAGATGTACTGATAGAACCGTATTGGAAATATTTATAGATCCCTTGTGTGGTAAAGCAAAAAGCTATATGTCCTATCTGTAACACATGAGATGATATATTCTGAGTTTTTTGATATGTAAAATTAAGACATTCTTCTAAAATAATGAAAATAATCTTTTTTTTTTTACCCCCCTCCCCAATACAGGACGATTTACTCCCTACAAGCCACAAGACATTTTGTTGAAACCCTTGTTGTTTGAAGTACCAAGTATAACGACAGACTCTGTGTTTGTGGGAAGGGATTGGCTTTTTCACCAGATAGAAGAAAACTTGAGGAACACAGAACTTGCAGAAAATAGAGGAGCAGTCGTTGTTGGCAATGTGGGATTTGGGAAGACGGCGATCATTTCTAAGTTGGTAGCACTTAGCTGCCACGGAAGCCGCATGAGGCAGATTGCTTCCAACAGCCCCAGTTCATCACCTAAACGTATGTCCATGTTTAATCATTTGTCTGGTATATTATAGTAGTACATGATGGATGGAGGAAATTGTTGTTTGGGTAGACATAAATCACTAATTTTTTTGAAGTTGTCTCACCTGCTCTATCAGGTTTGTAACATATGTTTGAGAACTATTTGAATACTCCCACCTTTGATAGTACATACTTATCTAGCTATAAGGAGCTCTGGTAGCATAGTGCCTAAGGCACTTGACTGCTCACCAGAAGGCTGGCGGTTCAAACCCATCAGCCACTCCTCGGAAGGAAGGTTGGGCAATCCTACTTCCGTAGTGATACTGCCTTGGAAGTTTCAAGGAGGGGTTGCTATGAGTCGGGGCCGACTGGACGGCAAACAACAACAACAACAATCTAGCTATAACCTGGCTAGGAGGCCAGCTTCCCTTGATGTCCTGAATGCTAACCCCTGCTGTCTTCTGTTTGTAAGCAGATATGTGGCAGTGAGGCCTGATCAAGTATATGGTGGATTTTTGAGTCAAAAACTCAGGCATTGAACTCCTGGTAGAGCAAGTCAGATGGAACCCACTGTAGAAGTCTTTTGTACCCCATTCTTTACATGTTTTGTGTTTTTTATGCTGGATTTATCAAAATTGTAAAGATACTTAATTAGAAATATGATGGGAGTAGGCAGTATTTGTTCATTGCTTATTTTATGTGTCATAAGCACATTAAAATTAAACTGTCTTTAAACAAAGTGAACAATTACAAGTGAGCCATGCTAGTTTTGTTTTATTTTTAATAATAAGGTATTTATCTATGCCTAGAACCACGGCCTAAGTCTACTCTTTCCACTACCTCAGTCTGTTAAGTTAAATTACTGTAGTGAAATAGGATGGGACTATTACACAGCCACTGATATGTTAAATATGAAGACCATGCCACAACATGGAAACTTCTTTATAATATAATGCTAAGTAGAAAAATAGGAGAGCAAAATTCTGTTAGTGATATGTGGACACCTATGTGAATATAATGTTCAGTGATAATGGTCTGCAGGAAATTTGGTCTACTGAAAATAGATTGAATAGTTGAGGTGGTGTATTGGTAGTTGAATTTTTCATTTTTATATAGTTTTGTGTGTGTGTGTGTGTGTGTGTGTGATTTGGGTGAAAGTTTACAAGGCAGACTCATTTTTCTGTACAGCTGCTCGTACACGTTTTGTCTCATGACACTGACTGCAATTCCCCACAGTATAACAGCTCTCTTCCCACTTCCTCCCCATAGTTACCTTTTTCCCAGTGTCCTTCCCTCCCATGCACTCTCGCCCCCTGAACGGTCTCCCTGTGCAAACGTTGCCCTTCAGTTCTCCTACGATTGATCGCTTCAAGTAGTATATCTACTTGATGTAAATGTTCACACCATATACCTGTCTATTGTTTGTCTGGAAGCCACAAAAGTGAGTTCAATACCAGACCTGAAGGGTGGTTAGGGGCCATCGTGTCGGGGGTCTCACCAGGCAAGACCCCAGTCACTACTCATCAAAGTAGGATGTTGAACAGTGTTTTTGTGTAGTATGTTATGGCAGTTGAGCTTGATGTCCCCTGTGACCATGGTCCTGAGCCCATAAGTCCAGCTACTCAATCCCTCCAGGTGGTTGGCTATAGCCAAAAAGCCACCACAACCTTGCCCCTTGTCAGTTCTACTATATACCTGGACATTCTCATACCAATACAGAAACATTGTCTGCTAACACTATACATGGTCATGGGCACACTACCCCCCCTGCCTACACATACCTGGTCATTCGGCCTGTCCTCCGATCTATCCACCCATAGATCAATGCTTGCCATCACTGACAATGCAGAACTGTACCTGAAGAAGGGTTCATCTTTGTTATCTGTACATCCCACATACTTCTCTGTCTTCCTCTTCCTCAGTGCCACTGTGCTGATCACTCATATTTGGTATGTTGCCTTTCCCTTAAACCCAAATCAATACTTCTCTCTACCTATCTAGTGGTGTTGCCTCCCTCCCCTCCCACACATGGTAACCAACAAAGTTTCCTTCCATATATAACCCTTTTTGTGTCTTTTTATAATAATGAGCTAATACAATATTGGTCCTTCTGTGATTGACTTATGTCACTCAGCATAATGTCCTCCAAGTTCATCCACGTTATGTGGTGTTTTATAGATTCTCCATTATTCTTTAGTGTTGCATAGTATTCCATTGTGTGTATGTACCATAATTTGGTTATTCATTCTTCTGTTGATGGGCACCTAGGTTGTTTCCATGTTTTTGCTATTGTAAATAATGCTGTGATGAACATGGATATACATATATCTGTTCCTGTCCCGGCTCTCACTTCTTTAGGATATATACCTAGTAATGAGATTGCTGGATCAAGTGGTATTTCTAATTCTAACTTTTTAAGGAATCACCATCTTGCTTTCCACAGTAGTTGTATCATTTGACAGTCCCACCTGTAGTGTACGAGAATCCCAATCTCTCCACATCCTCGCCAGCATTTGTTATTTTCTGTCTTGCTGAACTTTGCTATTAGTGCTGGGGCCAGATGATATTTCATTGTTGTTTTGATTTGCATCAAATCTACCAGCCACTCCTTGGAAGAAAGATTGGGCAATCTACTTCCATAGTGATACCACCTTGGACACCCAAGGGGAGGGGTCGCTATGAGTCGGATCCAACTCAATGGCAGTGAGTTTGGTTTTGGTTAATGGCTAATGAGGGAGCTCTGGTGGCATAGTGCCTAAGGCAGTTGACTGTTAACCAGAAGGCTGGCAGTTCAAACCCACCAGCCACTCCTCAGAATGAAGACTGGGCAATCTAATTTCATAGAGATGCCACCTCGGAAACCCAAGGAAGTGTTGCTATTAGTCGGAATCGACTCGATGGCAGTGAGTTTTTGGTAATTGCTAATGATTGTGAACATTGCTTTGTGTGTTTGTTGGCTGCCTGAATATCCTCTTTGGTGAAGTATCTGTCATGTCTTCTGCCCATTTTTGAATTGGACTGTCTTTTTGTTGTTGAAGTGTTGGAGTTTTCTATAAATTTTAGAGATATATCCCTTGTCAGATATGTTGTTGCCAAATATTTTTTCCCAGTCTGTAGGTTTTCTTTTTACTCTCTAGGAGAAGTCTCTGGAAGCATATACAAATTTAATTTTTAGAAGGTCTCATTCAGAGTTCTGGTACGATAGCAGAATAGGCAGAAAGACTGCACAGACCCTCTACAACAAAGAAAAGGGGAACCAATTAACACAGACACAGAAGATAATCATGGACCCCTGAGCCTTGAGGGAAAAGGTATAGAAGTGAACTAAACTCCAACTAGCAGAAGAATTTGCTTGAAAACACATATGGAGCTGTGGTCTGGCAGTGATCCTGACAGCACGGACAGCTTAGATATTGCCAAGTGGTGGTAGGACCTAAGAATTAAACTAAAAATCAGCCCTGCTAGCCAGGGACTGCACAGAGGACTGCTCAGTGGCTGGTGAATAAAAGGGGAAGCAGTGAAGAGGAAGGTGGCCTGAGCTATACACTTTTGCCTATCCAGAGGGCTCAGCCATTTTGAATGTTTACAAGAGGTTTGACCATTTTGGATATTTAAAGTGACAGCGTTCTCCCAGATTCCAGAGACTTAAGAACAGGCTCCACTTGCCAGGAACCACAAGGACATTCTGGACCCGGATGACTAGAAAGGTGCGACATTCCCCTTGTTACTCTTATTCCCACACCCTCTTGGTGAATGGAGGTGCAGCCATCCCTCACTCCTACCCACCTTCTGGGCTGACTGGAATTCCATCCCAGTCCGTGTGCTTGGAGGGAGCCTGGGTGCCCTGCCCCAATTTTTCTTTTTTTCTAGTTTTCAGCTTTTTTTTCTTTTCTTGTTCTTGGTTCCTAGTTTTTTATTTTTTTTCTTTCTTTCTCATGGTTAAGCCCATTCCTTGTTTTTCTTTTTGTGTTTTTCCCAGTTTTTTTCTTCATTATTCTCCTTCTCTGCCCTTTTTCTCTCATTGCCCTCTCTCCAGATATTGTGGAGTTTTTCCCCCCTTTTTTCTTTTTTATGGTTACTGTTCCTATGCAATTACACAGTGTGTTTTTTGTCGTTTGCTTTTACTTTTTTGATGGTTATTAAAGTGTTATTTTTGTCTAACTGAGTGGGAGACAGCAATAGTCCCCATATGACACAACTACACCCACACCTCCTGCAGCTTCACTAACTGAGTGAGAGCCACCATTTCCTTCTCCAGCAATCGGTCTATGATAAACAACCACCAAGAAGAGCCTGACTTGCCCTTAGCTGCTCTTCACAGTTAACAGGTATTTAAATACAACAACGTCACAATGTCTCAGAGAAAACAGACCATCACAGTCCACACAAAGAAGCAAGATAAAGTGGTAGAAACAAGGGAGCAGGATACAGACCCAGAACACATCCGTGAGGAAGAAGCAGCATT